CATGCCAGCCGTGCTCCTGAAAACATGGCGAACCTTCCTAAAACCCATCCTCTGTGAGGACTTTCGGTGGGAAGTGTGGCCAGGGCACAGTGCACAAAGTGACAGCACAGGAAGTGCAAAGGCTCTCTGGAGGCTGAGGGAAAGCCATGTTACCACACTGTGCTAGACAGGGTTCTCTAGAGAAACAAAATCAGGACGCTTATTATTTTAGATAGATAAATAGGTAGGTAGATAGAACATAAGAAATGAACAGCTAATTAGTCCACAGAGCAGTACAAATGGCTCAGTTCATTTGGTTTCTGTGAGACAGTTAATACACTGGTAGTCCTTCAACTCACGAGGGCTGCTGGGTGCAAGTCAAAGAAGCCGATTGCTGAGTCCTCTGTAGAGCAATACAGGCAGTCTGGCCACAGGCAGCACACAGCAGGACAGGTCACCAACAGTCAGCCAGATGACAGGGTCCAACAGTCCCAAGCTCAAGTGACGTATACACCAGCAGTGTGATGAAGCAGGTCTCAAAGGTACCTCAAACTATGACACAGTCTACGGGATGGGTGTCCCAGAGGTGGTGTAGCTCACAAGTTGAAGCAGAAAACTGGCTAAGGCAGCCGCACACTGGTCTGATCATCAGAGAGCAAGAGACAGAAAGGCGAGGCTCTGTCTCCTTTTATCTTTTTGTCCTTCAATTAAAATGCAGCCTTATTAACCCACATGTGTTTATTGGCCAGGTTGGCACAATAACCCTACAAATCACACACGGAAGAAGAGACAGTGGGAAGACGAAGCCAAGTTTCCAGAAGGATAAAACTGCAATGAAGATTGTGTTGGTTTGTGAATGTGTTGAGCTCAACTGCAGATCTAAGTGAAGGTTGGTTCTTAAGAGAGGGAAACACTTTGAACTGGGGAGAGATAAGAAGAAAAGGGGCCAGGTGATCCAGTTCTAAGTTCCATCGTGTTTTATTGATGAGAGTAAAATCTTGATGCTCACTTCATTTGGCTGCATTTGGTCATTTAACAGGGAAATAAACTAGGTGTCATCTATTCAATGCCCTTGACATGACATTATAAATTTACTTATACTGTGTCAGGCTGGGTTGTCTAGAGAAACAAATAGGAATCTCCAGTGAAAGACACACACATATATACATATATAATATAATGTGATATAATATATATGAAAGAGCTTTATATCAAGTAAACTTATTTCAAAAAAGCATTCCAGCTTGATCCAACTCAAGTCTACAAGTCAAATGCAAGCCAGGGCTTCCTTCAGACAAAAGTAGCTGCAGGCAGACTCACAAAGCTACAGGCTGATGAAGTTCACAGGTGAAGGGGGATGCAGGCAGATCACTGGGTGTAGGATCGGCGGATCCAATGTTAGTGGAAACTTGGCAGGGCACCGACAGCCCTCAAGGTTGGGTGGCCCACTTGGGGCCACTCCTGGACCCAGGCAGAGTCCCAGCAAGCAGGAGGCGAAGGGACAGAGAGGTGGGGATGGAATTCCCAATTTCTTTCTTATAGGAAGGCCACACCCCCAAGGAGGCATCATCAGACTGTGACCTGATTGATAGGTTGCACTACACTCCTACACTTTCATACAAATTCCAGTTGACATAAAATCATCCCACGACCACATATACTTCATACTTAAAAATAATAATAAAAGAAATCAAATGGCATCGGGCAAATCTGCTGCATAAGGTCTTTTCAAATCGTTAATGAGCAAACATGTCACGTTGAGGACTAAGGTGTATCTGACCCAAGTCATGGCTTTTTTCAATAACCTCGTATACATGTGAATGCTGGACAATAAATAAGGACGGCCACAAAGGGACGGATTATTGTGAATTACAGTGTTGGTGAATGTTCCATGGGTGTCCAGAAGAACAAATACATTTGTTTGGGAAGAAACACAGCCAGAGCACTCATTAGAAGAGAGCATGGCAAGACTTTGTCTCATGTCCTTTGGGCTATCAGGGGCACCGATCCCTGGAGATGGAAAGGAAAAGAAGAAAACCTTCAGTGAGATGTATTTACACAAAGGCTGCCACCACAGGCTCAGACATAGGGCAAGTGCAAGTGTAAGAATGGTGAAGGATCAAGTAGTGTTTCATTCTGCTTTACACAGGCTGTTAGGAGCAGAAATGGGTGGAACAGCATCTGACAACAATAGTAAGGTAGGCAAAACCAGCTAGGGGTATTGGATGTTCAGGTTCCTGGATGGCACAGGCAATCGGGTTTGCAATTGACTGCTACCTAGATATTGGTGGTTTAAACCCATCCAGGGACTCTGTGGGAAAAGACCTGACAACTTACTTCTGCAAAGATTACAGCCACGAAAATCCAGTGGAGTGGAGTTCTGCTCTGTACAGATGGTGTCACCATAAGTTGGACTTAAGGCAACAGTTTTAGGTTTTCTTTTAATTCAGTGTTTGCTCTGATGAGCCATGCCTTTTTTTTGGTGGTGGTGGGGAAGCTTTAGTGCATTACTCACTAAATTATTCTCCCCATTTTAGGAACGTGAGCAGGGATAGCAATAAACCTGCTGAAGATTAAATTTATGGCTGGTAGATTAAATAATTGTACAACCGTCCCAAGAGAATGATGTTTTTATGAATATTCAGCAGTTTCTCAGGAGTGGGATTACCCTGGATGAATATGTGTATTGCTGGGCCATAACAGTTTACACTTCTACCAGCATTGTGTAATACTGCATTCCATACTAGTAACCTGTTTCCCCCAAAATAAGACAGTGTCTTATATTAATTTTTGTTCCCAAAGATGCACTAGGTCTTATTTTCAGGGGATGCCTTATTTTTCCATGAAGAATATGGTACACATTTATTGTTTTATTAAAAGAGACCTCACACTTCCTGTCTGCTCCAGCTGCGCTGTGGCCAACAGTGAGTTGTGCAGCGGTGCCACCGCTACGGTCCGAGTTACAGTAGCTTCAGGGGACCTTATTCTTGAGGGGATGCCTTATATTTCAGTGAGGCAAAACTGTAAGTAGGTCTTATTTTCCGGGAATGTCTTTTGGTGAAACAGTGTAGTAGTGCCACTTAAAAACACATTTTATTATTTCTTTTTTACATATCTGCTGGCTGAAAAGTGATAATTCATTTTTATATCTCTGTTTTTCCCTAATGTTCATGAAGTTGAACATCATATAGTTATTTGAATTTTTCTACTGTAAAGTGTTCATTTTTCCTTATCATTTTATTGAATTATTTGTCAACACAGCCTTGAACATTATTGATTGTTGTTGTTAGGTGCCATTGAGTTGGTTCCAATTCATAACAACCCTCCCTGTGCACAACAGAACGAAATACTGCCAGGTCCTGAGCCACCCACACAGTTGTTATGATGTGTGAGCCCAATGTTGCAGCCACTGTCAATCCATCACATCGAGGGTCTTCCTTTTTTAGGCTGATCTCCTACTATAACAAGCATGACATCTTTTCCAGCACTGGTCTCTCCTGGTACCTGGTCCAAAATAAGTGAGATGAATCTTATTGTCAACCTTACTTCTAAGGAGTATGCTGGCTGTACTTCTTCCAAAACAGATTTATTTGTTCTTCTGGCAGTCCAAGGTAAGCTTAATATTTTTCATCAATGCCATAACTCAAATGCATCATTTTTCTTCAGTTTTCCTTATTCATTACCCAAATTGTACATGTATGAGACTACTGAAAATACCATGGATTAGAATAGGCACCATCTAGTTCTAGTCGTAGGGCCAAGAAGATATTTGTTCTTAGAGGTAGTTAGCCACACATTCTATACTTTCCTCCTTTTCCTGACTTGCCCTCTTTTTGTAGTATCTTGGCTGTCTATAAACAAGCTTTTTACCTCACTTTTGGTAATACTTGAAAGAATGCAATCAATGGATAAACAATGAGAACAAACTAACCTTAGGCTGTGTCTAGTATGTATTCCTACAAAGACTGATTGTGTGTGTGTGTGTGTGTGTGTATGTATAAGAGAGATTTATATACAAGAGCAATTGAACATTGAGAAAACAACCCAGCCCAGATCAAGTCCATAAGTCCAATATTAGACCATATGTCTGATCCCAATCAAGACTGATTTTTCAAAAGATTCTGTAGATGCAACAACTAAGAGTGGGTGGATTTTAGACATCCCTCTCCTCAAACTTCGAATCTCCATCAACTTTTAAAACCTCTTCAATTAACATTAATATAAAAATGAGTGATATTATATGTCTTAAGTGGGAATAAAAACCTCTTGCATTAAATAAAGTGTGTGTGATGCAAATACTTCAAGAGCTTGCCTTCCTTTTATTTGCACCTACAAGGCTCTGTAGTGTAGCAGCCTTTATGCACCCACTACTGCTCAGATGCTGGACTGCACTCATTAGTGACTAAGTCAGAGACAGTTAAAATGAAAAAGACAAGTTAACCATAAACCCGCTTCATAGGACTTCTGGGAACATTGAGGACATCACTCCTAATTTTATAACTTTCACTTATTGTTCTTTGTTCGAAGACTTTGGAATGATTGTTTAGCAAAATCTAAGACGATTGGGATGACATCTTGCCTCTTTACAAGGCAAACAATAAAAGCAAACTTTTGAACATAATCAAGTGTACGTCTTGGAAGTTTCATCCCATGGATGCCTGCTGCCCATCTTGGAAAAGACACCTGCGGCTCTCCACTGGTCACAAAGGAGAAACGCACTGAGCTCCACTTTTCGGTCTTCTTCCCGGAGGTGTCCGGAAGCGGCCCGGCTGACGTCGCGGTTCGCGCGGGCTGCGCGGGGTCAAGTGTGAAACCTCCGGGCGCTCTGGAGAGGGGCGGGTAACCCCAACAGGTGCGACTCGGAAACCCGCAGGGGCAGCCCCACCTTCGTTGGCCTTACTAGGGTCGCTAGGAGTCCGAACAGACCGCACAGCAGTGAGCGTGTCAAGTTCCTGCTCCGGAACTTACTTTGAGCGCCGGGAGGGTAGCCGGGAGGATTCGAGAGCCGAGCAACTTCCGGTGCCGACGGAAGTCGCGTAAGATGGCTTCGGCGCCGCACGGGTCGCCTACCGCGCCCGGGAAGAGCCAGTCTCGTCACCAGAAGGCAAAGCCGGACAGCCGAGGTGAGGCTGGGTGAGAGCTGCAGCTCGGGGCCGCCCTGCGCGCTTTGAGTGGAGGAGGCCTTTTGTTTCGCTGGCTTTGGGCGTAGGGCCGTCTCGGGTCTGTTCGGTGACGCCGCGAACTTGGCATTGCTTACGGCGAACAAGTCGGGGGAGCCTTCGGCGGGGCTGGAGAGACAGCTGCGCTGGCCGGTTCGGTGCCCACCACGTGCCCACCACGGTTCGGTGCCCACCATAGCTTCCTGCTTTTGCTTACGAGCCCTCTTCCCCCACAGCGGTGGTGTTGGCCGACCCGCCTCTGGCTAGGATGATGGGGATTGATAAGCTGCGGGGGACAGCCCCCCGCCCCCGTGCCACTGGCGGTGGGCAGCGTGCGGGCTGAGGGGCGCCGACGGGCAGGGGGGCAGGAAGAAGACTGGGGCCGGCGCTGGCGCGTCGTTCCTCGGGGTGAATGACAGACCGGTGGAGAGGTTTCAGAAATTGCCCGGGAACGCTCGAGCAGCCTTACGGGAGAGCAGTTAAAGACGTTGGTTCTCATGTTAGAGGCTCTGGGGAGATACTAAAGGATTGTTTTTGTTGCTGCTGCGTTTTTTAAGAAGTACATATAAGGTACGTGGCAGAATGCGCATTCGATGTGTAACATAAATACTAAACACACACCAGAAACCAGCATCAAGTTCGATCAAAGCCTCCTGGGTGAACTCAGATCATATTCTCGTTTCCCCAGACTCGAAAAAATCACCTTGATCACCTTCACTGCACTGCTTCTCTTCGTAGTCTTTATCCCCAAGCACGTGATTTGGTTTTGCCTATGTTTTCATTTGATATGAATGCAAATAGATGATTCTGTGTCTTGCTTCATACTTGAGTTTTGCAGCTTTTTGCTATATGGTGTTTCTTTATATGAATATACTCCAGTTCTCCCCCCACCCTGCCCCCCATTGTCGATGGATGTGCCTCTTAGAGGCACATTCCTTTGAAGGCTTGTCTAGGTTATGCACATAGAAGCGGCACCATTGGAGCGACAGGTATGTGCAAGTAGTGCCACGTCTTGGCCAAAGGGATTGTATGATTACACTTCAATTAGCGGTGGGTGGACCTTATTACTTCACATTTTCTTTAAAAGTAATACCTGAATTCTGAATTTCTCTTATTTGGGGTATGAATGAAATGGCATCTGGTTGGGACATTTAATTTTAACATTTTTATTCATGTGGATGCACATCTTTTCACCTTTTTTATGTGTGTTTCCTGTGTTGTGAAGTCAGGGCTACATCTCTAGTCAGTTTCCTTTTTGAGAAGAAAGTCGGTGATTTATCTTTTTTCTATTTATTCATAACCACTGAAGTGTCTACCCAGGGTAGGGCCTTGGGCAGGTATAAACTGTTAGTAATTATTGTAAACTATTGAAAAAGTTGAATTTTATTATGGAATTTGCAACTGGTTAATTATCTGTGAGTTGAGAAAAAGCAGGTGGAGGTGAGTAAAAGAAACAAAACGAGTTTACTTGACTGAGGTAGATTAAACGGGCTAACGTCTGAGCAGCTTTAGTGAAGATAAGACTTTCCTGACGAGATTGTTTTAACAGACTCCTGGACGTCATCCCAGAGATTTTGATTCATGCGCTTTCTATTCCCATAGACAGTTACAGACTTGGAAACCCATAGGGGTTCACTGCGAGTCAGCACTGACTGTATGGCAAGGAAAGAGAGAGATCAAAAACCGATGGCTATCACATATAGTTCCATTCATTGGGAGCCTGTGTGGGGATTCCAAGTCTGTCCATCTGTACAGGAGCAGGCAGCCTCGTCTTTCTCCCAGGGAGGAGCAACTGGCACGTTTCACCCACTGGCCTTGTTGTTAACTTTTAGCCTGATGATTATCTGACAGCACCTCGTAGGGCCCTAGAATTGTGTCTTCAACAAATTTCCACTGGATTCTGATACTGCAAGTCCATGGATTGTACCCTTGAGTGATATTAAATTTAGGAATAGCTGTTAAATTTAAGAACCTCAAACTTAAAAGGAGCATAAGTTTGAGAGAACATGTATGGTCCTTCCCAGACCCACAGTAACCACATGTAGGACTTTCTTTGGATTTGCAAGACAGTCAATGGTGGGTTCGATCCACTGACCTCGTTAGCAGTTTAATGAGTACTAATACACCATGCCTCTAGGGCTCCTCCATTTTATGGCCCTTTCAGACTGAAAACCAAACTCACAGCCATCCAGTCAATTCCGACTCGTAGCAACCTTGCTGGACAGCGGGGCTCCGGTTTTGGAGACTTTAAATTACTGTGTTAGACAGTGTCATCTTTCTCCGGAGAAGTGGCTGGTGAGTTTAAACAGTGGACCTTGTGATTGGTAGCTCAGTGTGTAGTCCATTATGCCACTGAGGCACCTTTTATAGTCCTTCAACCGATACCAAACTGCGGAGTCAATTCTGACTGGCAGCCCTATAGGGCAGAGTAGAACTGCCCCCGTGCGTTTCCGAGACGGTAACTTGATACTGAAGTAGAAAGCCCGTTCTTTTTCTCACTTTTTATCTCCTAGGAGGCCATACATTTTTTTTTTTTAGAGAAAAGTCTTAGACTAAATCAGCTATGTGTCCCCATAATCATAACGTTTTTGGATTGTTATGTTCACTTATAAAACTAAGAAAGATAATGGCCCCTTTATAGTTGACATGAAGGACATTCAGAAATAAGGCACATATAAACCTTTGGAAATCCTGAGTCCCTGTATCAGTGGTTATTAATGGAAACTATACATGAGACTATGCCTTTTAAATTTTGGTATACATGTGCACAAGCCTAGTATCCAATGCAGGAAAGTCAGAATTACTAATAGTTAAAATAGTGATGCAAACAAAGTGATTTTTTTCAGCTTAAATTCCACAGTGCTTTTGTGTAATAGAAGTTTCTTGAGTACCCACTATCAGTCAGCGTACGCCAGCATGTATGGACAAAAGGAGAAGGATCCTTGCCCTTAAAGAATTTTGTCTTACGAAATGACTAAAACATAGTGAACATTTATATATATATATATCTGCTGCTAAATTGTAGTAATATGAAAAACAGAAAGAAAAAAATGCCAGGAAGGGTTTGGGGAAGCATGTACATTTGTGGATACAGTCCTTAAAAAGTACACAACAGACAGACAGCATGTGGTATGTAAAATGTTTACCTCCCGCAGATGACTCTGAACTCCTCACTGTTCCTGATGGTTGGAAAGAACCAGCCTTTTCCAAGGAGGACAACCCCAGAGGACTCTTGGAGGAGAGTAGTTTTGCAACTCTGTTCCCCAAATACAGAGAAGCTTACCTGAAAGAATGCTGGCCTCTGGTTCAGAAAGCCTTGAATGAACATGTATGCACATATTATCTATTTTCTTTATATGTGTGTCTTGCTTATACCTTTACTTTTATGTCAGTGTGTATGTTGAAATAATACTCAGATTATACTCATGAATCTGATAAATTTTATTTGCTTTGTTTAAGTCATATTCTTTCTATTGCGAAAAAATACTTTTCCTAATTATAGTTTCTTTCTGAACGTATGATTATTTGTTCTTACTTAGCACTTAGTCCCCTGATCTGCTGTAAAAATGCTTGAAAGGGAGTCTTTCCTCATCTGGGAAGTGGGTTGTAGCTAGGAGCTGGATCCAGCAAGGGATATTTCTATGTTGGTCTTCATTATGGCCTCATTTAGAGTAATGGATATATATTTTTAAAAGGGATAATCTCAGTTTCCTGGGTTTCTAATATTCTGTGATGAATGAAAGTAATCTAGTATTTATTATTTATGTTAAACTACTGCATTAGTCCAGGTAGACTAGAGAAACAAATTCATGGACACTCATGTGTATGGGAAACTTTATATACAACAGCATTTGAATATTGAGAAAACGTCCCAGTTCAGTCCTTAAGTCTGATATTAGCCCATATGCCCAATACCAATTTATAAAGTCCTTTTCAGACTCATGAAACACATGCAATGATGCCGAATGCAGGAAGGTCACAGGCCAGTGGGTGGGAAGTCTTGTGGATCCAATGGCAGCGTAAGCATCTCAGCGCTGGCAGGGGTCTCCACGTGACTTCTCCAGCTCCAGGGCTCTCGCTGCCGTCATCATAGCTTCAGGTCTTGTTAGTAGAATCTCTCTCAGGGAATGAGCAGAGCGAGTATGTCTCCCGCCTTCAAGGAGGAAATACTGTAGTTCCCAGAATCCTCAGGAGAAGGCCGTGCCCACACAAAGACCTCCCCTTCACTCTTAGTCCTCCCAAGTCTCAAATTGACACCAGATTATGTAACTACTGCAACTATCCATCTTCTTCGGGGAGATCGGAGAATTTGGAAGATGACTTAATGGTACAAACATTGGTTTAGGTTTGGTTAGCATGAGCACTATAATTATCTAAAATGGAATTCTATTGTAGAAGTTAAAGATTTGCTCTTTCTTTTTTGTAGCATGTTAACGCAAACTTGGACCTGATTGAGGGCAGCATGACTGTTAGTACAACAAAGAAGACTTTTGATCCATATATCATCATTAGAGCCAGAGACCTAATAAAGCTTTTAGCTAGGAGTGTTTCGTTTGAGCAGGTAAATATAAAATGGCAAAGACTTTGCTTTAGCATTAGAGACAATATAACAACATAAAATGGTTTTGGCGATAGATGGTTCATGTCTGTAATTAGGAGTTATTAGAATGGGCTTGGTAAAGAAATATATTTGTAGTGTGTATTGATGACAGTATTTTTATTTTTCCAAAAGGCAATAAGAATTCTTCAGGATGATATTGCATGTGACATCATTAAAATAGGTTCTTTAGTACGAAATAAAGAAAGATTTGTAAAAAGAAGACAGCGTCTTATTGGCCCCAAAGGATCTACATTGAAGGTACTTTTATCAGAGGAAAGTGTGAATATCTTTTTTTTTTTTTTTTAATTTTTTTTTTTGTGAATATCTTTTCCATTAGTTTTTCAATGTACTACATTTTCACTTCATTTTTTTAAAAATATAGGCCTTGGAACTGTTAACAAACTGCTACATTATGGTTCAGGGAAACACAGTTTCAGCCATTGGACCTTTCAACGGTTTAAAAGAGGTGAGAACTGTAGTTAATTTTCAGGAGAGAGAAATTTGGTTCATATATAGTTCATTGGTGCCCGATGACTGTACGTGATTAAGGATCCCTGGTGGCACTATGCAGGAGCCCTGATTGTGGAGTGGGCTATGCATTGGGTTACTCACTAGAGCAGTAATGGTTTGGGGGGTGGGGTGGATCTACCAGCTGTTTTGTGGGAGAAAGATGTGACTTTCTACTCTTATCACCAAAGTCCTACCCTGAGCATTCTTCAGGGTCAGCCTCTCTAGAAAGCTCTACCCTGCCCCGTAGTCACTGTGAGTCAGAATTGTCTTAGCATTAGTGGGTTTGAAGTTTGGATTTGGTGCACTGTTAGGCATGTGTTGCACTGCTAACCTCAATGTCAGCAGTTCAAATCCACCAGCCATTCCAAGAGAGAAAGAGGAGGCCACCTGTTCCTGTGAAGATTTACAAAACTTTGGAAACCTATGAGTCAGAATGGCCTGGATATTAGTGGGTTTGGTTTTTATTGAGGGGTTATAATTAGGTTTTTAGAATGTGCACTCTTGGATTTTCCATTAGTAAACATTTTTAAAATTTCATTTTATATGACGTAATCTCCAATCCCGGAACCTAACATATTATGGCCAAATTTTGGCGACTGTGGAGAAATCTGTTGTTGAATTAGGAGGTTTGCTTATCACCACTTTTCCCACATACATTTTAATTGAGCATTTAAGATCTTGGTTTTGTAGCACAGACCAAAAGGATCTCGACCAAAAACCAAATTCACTGCCATCAACTCAATTCCCACTCGGAGCCCCTTTGGAGGACAGAGTAGAATGCCCCTGTGACTTTCTGAGACTATTTGTATAGAAATGGAAAACCTCCTCTTTCTCCCAAGGAACATTTTGATGGCAGCCCAAATGTGTAACCACTGTGTCACCAGGGCCACTTCTAGTTACCCATTGAACCTCTGAATGCTGAGTTGATTCTGATGCAAAGTGATCCTATAGGAACTGGGTAGAACTGCCCCTTGGCATTTCTAAGCCTGTGAATCCTTACAAAATACACTGGTGGTTTCAAACCACTGACCTTAAGGTTAGCAACTGAGTCCCTACCTGCCATACACCAGCACTCCTCTGTGCATGATACTTGCGTTCAAGTAATTGGAGAATTCAGTGGATCTCACTTGCAGTATTACATTCAGCCAGTAGAGGTCAGATTTTGAAAATTTCAAGGTGTATTTTGTTTAAAATTTTAGCATAAAAGTTAAGTAATGCTTCTTGAAATAGCTGTATGAGAAAAGTATATGGAGCAGAGACTTTCTATTTACTCGTTTCCATGCTGCTGTAGTCTGGATGTGACGGTGAGGCCTGCATCTTCTTCCGCTTTTCTCATACAGCCATAACAACATAGAGATCGTGAATAGTTTGTAGTTTTGTAAGGTCTTTACAATATATTATTTCATTCTTACAACAGACCTTTGAGGTAGACGGTTTCAGTTCCCCATTGCAAATGAGATAGCTGGACCAAGAAAATTACATCGCTTTCCCGTATGAAGCCCTTGTATTTGAACTGAATGCTTGCAGCTCTGTTTGGTGTAAGTCTAGGTACCACAGTGTGTTGTCGTTCTAGGCACCACATTTCAGCAGGAGCATTGAGAAACTTCAGTATATTCAAAACAAAACCAGATCCCTGCCGCTGAGTCAGTTCTAAGTCACAGTGACCCGGTATAAGGTTGCCAGGAGCAGACTGCCTCATCATTCTCCCTTGTAGTGGCTGGTGGATTTGAAGGGCTGGTCTTGAGGTTAGTAGTCCAATACCTAAACTGCAGCACCACCAAGACTCCCTAATGATTTTGGGGAGGGGACATTACTATTATCGTGAAAGTCTAGAAGCCTCTCGGAGTAACTGAAGGGGCTTCTGCAGTGAAACCTCTGTGAGCCAGACTGTAAGGACTGCCAGGTTTTGGTTTTGTTTTGGATCACACGAGTTTTCCACCTTTGACAGGGTGCAGTCACCACTTTTCTATTGCTGGCTTTACAATGGACAATATTTCAGTTTTCCTTCTCTGACAGCTTTCTACTTCATGTAACTTCTGGTTTTCTCAGATTTCAATTTGTATTCAATTTGGCAGCCATTGCCTGACACTTACGATATTTTGCGGCACGGTAATCCTCTGCTATCCAATTCGTTTCAATCTTTGTTCCTCATTTACTCATGAATTTCAGGTTCGGAAAGTAGTCCTAGATACTATGAAGAACATTCATCCAATATACAACATTAAAGTAAGTTCTGATTATATATTTCCGTACTGGTGCTTAGTCACAAAGCTTTATTGAAATGAAGTGTTTTATGAAAGCTAATACATCAGACAGACAAAGCAGAGCTCTTTGGGGCCGATTAGAAGTTGGGTACAGCCCCTCAGCCATTTCTACGTAGAGGACAGTGTGGAAACCATTGGAGGGAAGATGGTCATGTGTATTATCATTCTTAAACAATGAGATGTTTTGAAGACTTTGCCACAGATTATATCAGTCCAGTGTTAAGACTTCTGTTAACTAAAGCCCGGGATATGTCATATTAAAGCTTTGTTTTCTGGAATTGAACATTCAAATTGTATGTCTTTTAAAAGATGTTTGTTATGTGTACAGAGTTCATGGGTAGACTTGAAAATGCCACCATGATATAAATATTTTGTGATAAATATTTGTCGAGTAACCTATTTCCTTTTAAAAGTCATTCACTGAGTGAGACGAAGCGATGTTCCCTTACATCGTACTGTTAGAGCAGGAGAAAGGAGAGCCAGTGGTGCATGCCATGCCTGGTCTGCATCCTTTGATGTCCCAATGTCCATTAAGTGTGGCAGAGCTGTGAGAACACTTATCTTACCGGTTCATGAGCAATCTTACACTGCTTTTCTCTTTTCCTCTGAAAGGCCTTGGTTACTATAAACACTTGGTTACTATAAACAAACACTTGCACACAAGA